GGAAAACAAGCTTCATGGAGTCGATGCAACCAATCAGAGGACCAGAGAAACTTTCACCATGTTTCTGAGAAAGTGGAAGTGAAAGTGTGTAAGTACAACTTAGCACAACTGTTTATATTAGTACTGAATTATTCAAATTGTCATTCAAACATGCTAAATGGTAATATAAACATTATGTGGATCCAGCTCATCAGCAGCCCAGGTCATGACCCAAATAGTGGCAGCAATCAAATAACATGATAGGAAAAGGACGACCTCTTCCCAACACAAAGCTGTGCTCATCCTCTCACACCACGTGCCACCTAAATCCTCACTAAGGGCCCCCCAATGCCCTGCCCTAACCTATTGTGAAATCAGGCTCCTTTGCTGAGGGCATTTGCAATGTAGGGCACCCCACCCCCAATCAGACACACTTGAAAATATTCGGCTTTCACCTATGGGTGAAACAAAAGAGGTCAAGCCATAATCCACAACGTCATTCCAGCACACTGTTTACAAACACAAAGCCCCCGATAAAGGCATGGAAAGCCCTCTCCCAGCCTCCTCGGGTGGATTTAAGGGTGTTATCAGCAAATCTGTGACGGGCAATACAGACAAGAGAGCATAACAAACAAATAAGCACTCCCGGCTGCCCCAGTTCTTAAAGCCTTGAAAAATACAAAACACCAAAGCTGCCTAAATGCCTCAGAACCAGTACGTAAACACCTCAATAATCTCACGGCTTATATATTTTCTGCAATATCTTCAATCCTGTTGCTTTCATCCCCAAATCAAGAGCCTAAAGTCATCACCATTTGCCCCCACCCTCAAATAACGGCACTAAACCCAACGCTGAACCAAACAGGTTCAGTAAACAACAACAAATCTCAAGGCAACAGCAGGTCTGTGAGTGTAACATAAAAGCTTCGTTTTATAACCTCAGCCTCAAATAAAAGTTCAGATTTAGAGCTTCTCTAATGTACATCCATTTTAGCACAAGAACAGGTCAGCTATTTTTAATATTGTTTGCAGGTTATTTTACATAGTATTAAGTAATTTATTTATTAATATTTTGAATTGGCTTTTATATTTATATTTTTAATTTTCAGTTTTTAACCAATTTTTAGTAATTTGTTGCAACCTTTTGTCAGTTTTTAATATTTATATTTAGCGCACACTTATTTTTGTTTCAGTTATAGTTTTTCATCTAATATTTATTTCAGTTTTATTTCAATAAACAATCATATTTTCACCATCGTTTTAGTTTCAGTTTTAGTTAACAAAACTAACAGGAAAAGTTTACTCATATTTGAGACTAAACTAATGAAATCTGTTTCACAGTCACAGAAAGGCGATGATGTCTCCCCACAAATGCAGATTAAATCGAAAACGGTCATTATCTGTTCACCCTCAGTTCGCATAAAACATGCAGGGTGTAAACAAAAACTAGGGCAGAAAGTTTTCAGAGAATAATGATGCACATGTCAGTCTATTCATCAAATAAAGCCACCAAAAGGTTCAGAGGGTTTGGAAAATAGCGCATGAATGATATGGACCAATTTTTGTCTCTTTCATAACTTAACAGTCATGGTCACTTTCATAGTACAATGTCCATGCTGCTCCTTTCCCTACTAAGTACCTCCTTTTGCATTCCACAGTCAAAATAATGAGTGCAAACAGTGCAAAGGTAGATGACAATGCTCATTCATCGGTGAACTGTACCTTTAAGATTTGAATGCACTCTAAATGTGATGATACTTGATGTGTCATTCTGATATAATCTTTGTATGTCTGAAAAGGCCAACTTGTGCAATGATGTATCATGTACAGAGAGATGTAGACTGATATACTCACCGTGCCGGGGTCTCTCTGAGAGGTCATAGCTGTGATCAGAGGTGGAAGGCAGCCAGGAATCGATGGGTGACCAGCAGTAAGAGGGGCGCACAACCCCTGGCACAAAGACTCAGTATACGTCTTCTCCCTCTGGCCTTTCTCTGCCTCGTACAGCCTAACACCAAGTCAATCATTCACAACATGCCCACACAGATTTGTTTACCACACACAGTCCAGTGGTCAACAATGCATTAACACTAGAAAATTAATTACCATCTTAGGTGAGAGACTTTACAAAGAGAAACGGTATAGTATTACAACATACAGTAGGTGAGATGACAAGACATTCCTATAAACAGATTGACAACATCCTGGTGAATTTTTAGAAAGTTGGTTAACTACTAGGTAGTAAACTGTAGTATAAGTGATCAGATCAATTCATTAATGATGAACCACCTAAAGGATATGCAGCCTTTATGAACAATATACTCTATATGGTTTATAAACAAACAAACAGAGTGTAGATAGGTCATATTTAGGGAAATGCAAGGGGGGAAAAACACATCACATACCTTTGCTCTATTTGACTTTAAGCAAAACTAGTGTTTGCATTACTGGAACAGCTTTATATATCAGCTTGAGACCGAATCTGTGTTAGAAATTCAGATCTGCCTGCAAATCAAATCAGACACCAAACCAGGATGACCTAGACTGTTCAGCAGAAAAAAATATAAACGATCCAAAATCAAAGAAGCATCAAAACGATGATACACATACCATTAAACAAGATGTGCGTCTAGTTTATGAGGCGAAGAGACGTGAAAGGCTGTAGGAGCAGAGAAACAGTACGCGCGACCGCTGGCCTTGAGCTGGAATAATTTCTGACTGCGGCAAAATAAAGAGGAACCAAAACGACCGTTTTGATCGAGTCACAGGCGGCTATCAGATCCAGAGCGGTCGTTTGATGGTCCAGGGCTTTTCTCAAACACTAGCTGATGGGTATATCCATCGTTCAATCAGATCAGATGTGGCTAAATTCACTCGCAGCGTTCGAGCAGAATAATGGCTGAGAATTTAAAGACACCGGAAGTCAGCTGGCCATATATGCAGGAAACTGCGCGCAAGGCTTTCTGGGACTTGTAGTTTTGAGGCAATTCTCCATTTTGATCGCACCTTGCAGAACGGCAGTCATTTCACATGCTGTGTGAAAGGAATGTGGGTTTTCCTTTCTATAAATAAAAAGTAATATAAAATATTTTAAAACATAAATGTTTAACTTCCTCATGTCAATAGGTTAAACATCTTATGCAATCAAATTCAAAATTTAGGATGATAAATTGGAATATCTCTTGATATGAAAATCCTTATAGAATTTAATTGTTTTCACAGACCCTCAATTAAAAAATCTTCCTTTTTTCTTTCATTTTAAAAGAAGGCTATGCACAACTGAATGACAATACTTGGCATGTTTATTTGATAACAGCATAGCACATAATAAAGGCACATTGAGTAGGCTATTTACATAGGAAAGCTGAAGTGTGTAATTTGTTTTAAAGTCAAAATACTTTCTTCTATCTCATCTTAATATGCAGATACGAGTAAAAGTAAGCCATTACCCAAATCCATGTTTAAGCATCCAATCCAGCCCAACACAGAAACACTGGCTCAACCAATGGTGCGAGTTTGGGGTGGGACTATCTGGGAGCATTTTGTGAAAACAATAACTATTTTTGCAATTTCATTTGGTGACATCAGTGGCACAGAAATTTCACACTTCAGCTTTAAAGAGCAAATATATACATGGATATTAAACAAGTTTTACAACACAGTAAACAGTAATGTCTGTTATATTACAGTATACAAACCAATAGAGCTATTCAGTCATCATGTCAATTTGTAAGCCAATCCGGAAGCTTGTTTAGCAAGTTCTATTTTTAAAAATATATTTCTCTCACATTTTAGGTATTATTTATGCGGTAACTTTCCAAGTAAGGTTCCACTTATTAACATTAGTTAACGAAGCGTTAGCATAAACTAACAATGAAATTAGTTCCTTTAATATTATTTAATGAACCTGAGCTAACAAGTAATGTAAACAACAGACCTTATTTTACTCAATCAAAAATTCCCATAGGAATTCCAGAGGGAATACATGCCTGTAATATTCTTTTCCAGGATTTAGGACTTCAAACCGAACAGCTCTATACCTCTGAAAGAGTGAGAAAAAGCTAGTCACAGCATTGAGCCATGAAAAGTCATCACTTCTGAGGAAATGTAGGCTACAGTAATACCCATAAGGGTCTGTATTATAAGAAGAGAATGTCTCTTCAAAGTGAATACTACTGACTCTCAACTTTGTAACAGATATGATTTTCAATAAACTGGAACAAACAGTTCCAGCTCAACTACACAGCAGCATTGTGTAAACATTCATTGTAAAACAGGCTTAAAAGTTACAATATTTGCAGCAAACGGATGATTTTTGGAAAATAAACTGTACAAATAACTCTGTTTAGTGTAAAGAGCCATAAATTACTCGGTTCATGTCAATTACATATACCATATCTCAGCAGCATACGGAAAAAGCCACCAAAGTCACAAAGTTCCATAATCTCCACCTTCAAATCTACTTTTCCTTAAAGAAAAATGCATTTACATTGCAATGTTTTTACAAAAAACATTATGAAAACAGCATAAACTGTCATCTTAAGAAGATAACTAGAATGGAAAAATATTGCGTGAAAAATAAGAGCACTTAGATGCTGATGCTCAAAATGAAAAAAGTACTAATTTTGTTACGCAAGTAAAAAACAAGACGCCTTTCCAGAAAAAGACAATAAGGGAATGTCTGTTTCTGCTATTAAGCACATTTAAGACAATGAGGGTTTCCTATTTTACATCCCAAATATGTACAGCTCAGTAGAGAAAACTGTGCCAAAATGTATTGGTACTAAAGAAGCCAAAAATATGTCAAACATATTACAGTAACATTAACAATAAATACATTTTCCTCCCGCTGGTACATAAATACATTTACAAAAATATACAAGAACATACTTTTACAAATAGAAAACTACTGACAAAATCCAAGGTAATTTTAAAAATATTTTTCATGTATCACTTTTACCAATCATGTCAAGTTTATAAAATTAAGTACTACAAGGACGTTTTGATTTCAAAACAATAATGCACATTATTTTACACTCTCAATTCTCTCTGGTCCAATAAAAATACATTGAGTTTGTTCACGCAGCACACAAATCTAAGTTGGTCTTTAAATGTGAATTTTCTGACTGTGCTCACTATCATTTTGCAAAGGATGAATTCTGATCTGTTTGCCTAAACTGGATACTATAGTAATGATGTGAGTGCCAACATAATGGAAAGGGACTCAGCCACACTTACTACATAGTGAATGTGACACAGTGTGATATATGAGTAAATGTGGCTGAGGTCCACAGTATGTGTGTCCACAGTAAATGTGGCTGTGGACGTCCTTCATGGCCACATTTACTACATAGTGAATGTGACACAGTGTGATATATGAGTAAATGTGGCTGAGGTCCACAGTATGTGTGTCCACAGTAAATGTGGCTGTGGACGTCCTTCATGGCCACATTTACTACATAGTGAATGTGACACAGTGTGATATATGAGTAAATGTGGACATGAAGGACGTTAAACAAATGTCACATCATAAATGATTAAAAAAAAATTTGAGTTGGCTACGCCCAATGAGATTTCTGCTGCCTGTTTAAACAAAGCCTATGAATAACATATTCCCATTCATTGAGAGAGAAAGAAGTCACACTAAATGACCACCCACAGGCAGAGACACCCTGTTCACAAACATCTTTTCAAGCGTAACAGTTCTGCCCCATCTCTGATCTGTCAACATGTGCATACAAAGTACATGGAGGACTAGACAGAATTCTTTTCATAATGAAGCCTAGACATACATAAGTAGCACTGTTACAGAACCATTATACACTGACACAAGGTAAACGATTAGCAAGAAATACACAGTTTACCTACTGAATAAAAATGGTTGAGTGAAGCCATTTTTGTCAGTTTTCAATGCAGACTTTAGAAGAATTATAAGGTGCAAAAGTGAAACTGCAGCCATTTACAAAACCGGTTGTAATGTGGCTGCCATACCAATCCAGCTGCTCTTCTTAAGGTGTGGTCCCCTCACTCTCATCTTCAGTCAAGTAGATTGGTTTCTTTCCTTGGAAAATTGGCTCAAATTTTTCTGGGGAATTGTTTTTTCCCTCAGAGCTGTGCTTTATTCCATATGCAAAATAAATAATAAAACCTAAGAGAGAAAAAGTATGAAGTCAACCTTTCAAGCACAGTACAATGAAAAACTAAAAAACACCCATGATAGCGTATAATTACACTACTGTACAAATGTTTGGGGTTGGTACAATTTTTTATGCTTTTGAAGTCTCTTGTGCTCACCAAAGCTGATCAAAAATACAATAAAAACAGCAATATCATGAAATACTATTACAACTTAAAATATAATGGTTTTCTATGTCAATAAATTTTAAAATGTAATTTATTCCTGTGATGCAAAGCTGAATTTTCTGCATCATTACTCCAGTCTTCAATGTCACTGAATTTCTTTCTTACTAACCCCAGACTTTTGAATGGAAGCATACATTTAACACACAGTTACATGACAACATGATTTCACATGCTATAACTCACCAATAACCATCCATACTGCGAAACGAACCCATGTAGGTCCACCCAATTGCATCATGAGGTAAATATTTACAAAGATACTGACCAATGGCAGAATGGGGAGCAAAGGCACCTACAAAATGTTGAGAGAGGATTATAACCACCTAAAGATCTGACGTTCTCAATTTAACAAAGCACAAGGATAATAGCGTAGCTTTGTAAATTACGTCTGTACCTTGAAAGTGAGAACCTCTTTACTCTGGGGCTGTCGCCAGATGATGAAGATGCAGACAGAAGACAGAACAGACAGGAAAACAACCAAAGTGATGTAAAGAGGGCTGCCCTTCCCCACCTGCTCTCCGTACACTGCCAGCACCACACACAGCAGAGTGAACAGCACAGCTGAACAGAAAAAGAGAGGAATGTTATCTGCCTGTTCACTACATTCACTACATACTGTTTACATTTCCCTGAGCTCTACATTACAGCTACATGTTGCAGCAAAAAAGGTAGATCATAAACTGTGTTAATGAAAATGCTTACATATGGTGCCAGTTGCAGAGTAAACAATGATGCCTGAAATCTTGGTGGGTACATCACAGATGGGTTGCACCAGCATCCTGATGGAAAACCTCTCCTTAAGGGGTGTTGTCTCCAGCTCCTGGCCGTACTCATCCCCGCTATCCACATCTGCCATGCCTCCTTTAGCCTCCAGCCTCTGTAGTTCCATTGACTTCTCATTAGCACCACTGGAGCCAATACTGCCTGGCTGGTACCTGTAGATTAAAAAAAAAAAAAAAAAAAAAGAAAACAGATTT